GATTGTCATGCATTTTGATGATCTAGAGAAATGAAATAAAGTAAAGATGTTGGTAATGGACAAGCCAAACACATTTAAATGAAGCTTTAAATCTTCTTTAGATCATAGGGAAGTTCTTTCTTTCTTAGCTTATATTGAAATTTCAAGGAAGTGAATTACTTTAAAGTCCAATGGCAAATTCTCTAAATAAGAAAATGACTCCCAAAATCTCCTTTCCATGATTCACTACAGGATTTCTCTGTACAGAATCCCCAGGTCTTAATTCTTTATGAGGCAAATATACAATGAAATCTTGGGAAATCATTGATGGTTGAAACAATGACTACTTTCCATTAAGTATTCTATATTGATCATGTTACCAATAACCTTTGAATGTTCATGTTGGTGATCTTCTTGCAACTGCAGCAGAAGCTTTAAGGAATTAAAAGAAATGCTCAGAGTGCATTTCTTTGAAGTATCAATGATCATTGTGCCACCAAATATGTACAAATATGAGTGCAAGATACAAGGCAAGTGCTACTGTTCAAGAGAAACAGTGTGTATGCAGAATTAACAACCTGACTAGAGCCACAAAAAGGATCTGCTAAAACACACACACACACACACACACACACACACACACACACACACAAGAATCTGGCAGAAGGACACAACACTTTTAGAATATAAAAGAAAGTTAGATAGGAAAGACAGATACAGTGTTTTCAGACTTGGGGAAGAGAGTGAAGTATCTAGGATATTATATCTAAAAGCCAGCTTGTGATACAGACTAAGAAAGATTCCCAGAATCTTTTTGTTTAATTAAGTATTTATTTATTTTTTACTGAAAAGGCAAATTTACAGAGAGAAGGTGAGACAGAGAGAAAGATCTTCCATCTACTGGTTCACTCCCCAAATGGCCGCAAGGGCCAGAGCTGAACTGATCCGAAACCAGGAACCAAATGCTTCTCCTGGGTCTCCCACATGGGAGACCCACTTACAAACACTTACAAAAAGACCCAAACACTTACAAAAACCTCTACTGGTTTCCAAGGTCATAAGCAGGGAGCTGGATGTGAAGTATAGCGGTCAGGACATGAACTGATGACTATAAGGAGTCCCCAGGCTTGCAGGAAAAAGATTAGCTAACTGAACCAGGCCAAGAGTCCCAGATTTGAACGACAAGGTAGTACAAATCTTTTCTACAGATGATAAATCTGTCCAGTGCTTTAAGAGCATCAGTTGGCATGAAAATGGTATTCCTTTAGCTAGTCTCTCTAAAGTATATCCAGCTTTCCTCACAGTGCATCTCATTACCTGCACATGTCCTGAATTAGGATGGATTGGGAGGTGGAAGTCTAAGCCTGGAACAAGGGGAGATATAAACATTTGTTCTTAAGGGCTTGTTCCTCATCAGAAGAAAACACATAGATGTGTCAAAGGACATTAATTGGAAGTGAGTAGGAGAAGCTACACCAGAAAAAGAGAACTTTGCATGAATTCATGTAAAGAGGCGGGACGGGGCAGTGGAAGGGTAAAGAACGGGAACTATTAAAAGAACAGGAAGTCAGACATCAGCTCTCCATCTTTTGTGGTTTTTCTGGGGGCATGTAGAAATATGCAAACCCATATCATAGAGATTTTAAAATATTTACTTATTTAGAAAGAGACAGAAAATAGAGAAAGAGAGATCTCCCATATGCTAGCTCATTCTCCAGTTGCCCACAACACTTGGAACTGGGCTGGGCAAGGTCAAAGGCAGCGGTAAGGAATTCAATCTGGGTCTTGCACTGACACAGATCCAAGTACTTGGGGAACTTAGAAGCTATGTTTTCTTTTTAACTTTTGCAAAACATTAACATATTAGTAGGTCAGTGGTAAAAAAAAATTCTCAGAATGCAATTTGATATGAAGCCAAAGTCCAATATGCTGTAATAAAGCATACAAATATAAGAAATTAATTATTCAAATTATTTTAAAGTACTATAGGATAGTTCTTTGGTGTATTTTCAGAGCAATTTTTTTGAAGATTTATTTATTTCTATTACAAAGTCAGATATACAGAGAGGAGGAGAGACAGAGAGGAAGATCTTCCATCTGCTGATTCACTCCCCAAGTGAGCGCAACTGCCGGTACTGCACCAATCATAAGCCAGGAACCAGGAACCTCTTCTGGGTGTACCACACGGGTGCAGGGTCCCAAAGCTTTGGGCCATCCTCGACTGCTTTCCCAGGCCACAAGTAGGGAGCTGGATGGGAAGTGGAGCTGCTGGGATTAGAACTGGCACCCATATGGGATCCTGGCGCATTCAAGGTGAGGACTTTAGCTGCTAGGCCACGCCGCCGGGCCCTTCAGCGCATTTTTTTTGAAAATTCATTCTTTGTGTGTGTATGTAGAAATATCTATTACAACACAAGAAGGTGAAGATTGATTCTGTTTGCTGTACTATATTGTGACTATCAGGGAGATAGTCTCACCACTTTTGCATTGTCAGGACTTTTTCTCCACAATGCAACTGGAAACAGTTTCCCCACTATACGGAAAGTGTGAAGTAATCTATTTCATGCATTGCAGTCTTATGCCCTTGCTTCTGTGTCCTTGACTCCGATGCAGGTCCATCAGGTGTTCTGATGTTATGTGTTGTTTTAAGAGGCTCCATTTTCCCTCTTCCTTGTGGAAGTTTGTTATCTTTCACCTTACCTGGAAGTCATCACAGTGAATAAATAAACAATAATGGGATAATTCTCTTCTGCGGAGTGAAAGCTTAAGAAAGAATAATTTCCTAGCTTGGCTTAGAACAAGAGACAGAAAAAGAATGATTTTTCTCATTACAAGTAGGCTTTCATTTGAAGAAATACATGGATGATACTCAGATGGTTAGAAGGAAAGGCAATGATTTCTCACTCAGTGTCTAGTATAGAATTTTTGCATTCCAGAAGTCTTTTTTTTACATTTATTATATTTTATTCATAGAGACTTCTTAGTTCCCAGTAGCTCAGGCTCCTTCCCATTGGTTCTGACAAGTGTGTTACTCTAAGTTGAATGGGCTGATGCTTCAATTTAACCCAAGTATCTTTCTCTTTGTCTTCCTTCTTTTCTGGATTATTTCCCTCTACATATTTCAGGAGCTATCTCAGTATATATTTCAGGAGCTATCTTGGTTCTTAGAGTGCTTAATATGCTTCACACCCACATTAATTCTCTTGGCAAGAATTTTGCCCTTAACTTGTTCATTCACAACAGTGCCAACAAACATGCTGGGTAACATTGTAGATTCTTCCAGTTTTGCCATGTTAACAATTATGTTTGAACAAAATCTATTTCCTGGGTGTCTACAATGTCACTCTCTTTGTAAGTGTACATGTATGTGTCCGAAAGAATGACTCCACATTTCCTTAAAGTCCTGGGTGCCTCGCCTCTTTCTCTTTGTGTCTGTCACCTTGGTGAATTACTGGAAGGCGGCAGTTCAGGCCAAAAAAACACGGCACCAGGCTGTGGGAATCCCAAATGAAAGGGAGCACAAGTATTACGTATACACACGAGTGGTACACCCAGCTTAGGATTCTGAAGTATATTCCTAACGCAGGCTCTTCATTATTTCTGCTAACAGTTGGACTTTATTGCTCATTTGACTTACAAGGAAGTTCACTCCTTTTTTTTTTCTTTTTACATTATATCTTGAGCACAACCCTTCAAGATCCAGAGCTTTGTAAGAACAATTCTGAGAGTACTCTTTGAGGTGGAGGGCTTCCCTTTGAAAGGAGACAAAGGAGAAAAGAGATGACAGCTAGTAGACAAGCTTAGATGCCACCTACAAATCTATTTCCCACAGTTTTGGAGGCTGAAATTCATGGTCAAGGAGTCAGGGTGATTGATGTCCAGTGAGATTTCTTTACTGGATTGCAAAACGGTGTTATCTTACTGTGTCCTCACCCAGTGGAAGAGCTGAAATGAGGACATTCATTCAACCCACAAGGGTTCTGTTCTGGTGAACTAGCCACCTCCTAAAAGACCTCACATACTGATAGCATCACATTATGATTCAATGTTAGTATGAGTTTTGGGTACACAAACTCAGGGCCAAAGTTCTATATATATAGGCTCAGACTAACTGTACGCTTTATCCTGAAAACTACCTTATGAAGAAGGGAGGTCACTGCAGAACAGGAAGTGACTGGCCAGAAGTGTGCAGAACACAAGTTCTGAAGTGCCATTCAAGCCCGAGTCTTTGACTCCTAATCTGGAGCTCTGTCTGGATGTCCACCATCAAGGTCACACTGCCACTGCCCCACCTCTGTGCTGTTCCAGACAGGATAGCTTGAAATGAACAGAAGAATGGAAAAAGAGAAGAATGACAGATTTGAAAGGAATGAAAGTATTTGCTACTAAGGGGAAAGTGGAAGAAACAGGCATGAACCCTGGGTATGAAGGCAGAAACCCTATGCTTGAGGCAAAAGGAGTTGGGGTGTCACCAACTCTGCTCCTCTAGGGTGACCCAGGGAGCCCAGAGCTGCTGAACCTTTGAGGAGCGTGAACTTCAAGTGTGAAGAGGGAGGGCCGTACAAATGACAGCGCATGCTTTCTGGGAAGAGACTAGAGAGAGAAGAGAGAACTATTACCGGAAGGTAGAAAAATAGATAGCATAGGAGGGAATATGAGAACTCAAAAATGTGTGGGAAAAGATTCATCATGTTTGCTGCAAAAAAGTCTTGAAACTTATGAAGAATCCTTCCTACATTTTCCCACGAACTTGGTGATGACCACCTTATACAGATAGGAAGCTTAGAGCAAAAGCAAAATCTTACAAACCAAAATAAAACACAACACACGCACTTGAATGTGCTCAAACTTTGATATTTACCTGCATAGAACCTCAGGCCTCTTAAATTGTTTGAAACCCCTGCACCACCCTGTTCTTAGGTCTCTTCCTGTGTTCCACCCATGTTTCTGTTCCCTACCCTCTCTCCAGTATGGGGAAACGGCTGTCTGGTTCCCATGTAATCTCTCTGTATTGCTAGTAGGATGGAGAGAACTGGACAATGTCTCAGACACCCACCCTTTGAAGGAGACCGCCAGGCTCAGGCACAGAGAGGGATCAGATGTTGAAGCTGGGTTTGTGGGTCACGGGGAGCCCCAAGGACCCGCCCACTCACTGTGCGCTTCACAGCGTCAGTTTGTGGGAACTGTCAGACCAGGTCCAGTGACCGGGGATTTCTCAGAGGCCTTGTCAGTTCACGGCAGCTCTGCGCAGCATCGAACTGAGGAAATTGTGGCTGGACAGACGGCACCACAGCTCTGATACCACAGCCTCGCAGCTGCCCAGCAGCTGCTGAGCCCTTGCACACCAGACTATCTGGTGGGTGAAGGGGCTTCCTCTCTGTCTTTTGAGGATGCTGAGGCCACCTGACCTTTCTTTCCTCATCCACACACTCACCTTCCTTCTGCTTCTCAAGCAGCATCAGGGAGAAGGTAAGAATCCCGACCCGGTATGTGTGTTGAGGGTAAGGGGCTGGCATGGACCAGGCGTTCTACCCCTCAGTGAGATCACAGCCTAGAGCCCCCACTCAGGCCACCTACAGGATCACCTGGAGCTGGGGATCTATAGTTCCTGAGGGCTCTGACAGTGGGTCATGGGCATTTAAGCAGACCAGGCAGCATTGGATGAGGGGATCACTTTCCATGGTCTTTAATTTTACTTTCTAAGAATTGGGGAGAAGATCTCTGCCTAGCTGCTGTAAGGGGGAGGACAAAGAAGACCCCACCCTCTAACTGTGAGGCAAAAGAGGTGATTCTGGATCTCAGACACAGACAGGGGACGACCCCTAGGGCAGGCAAGCTGAGCAGGGGAAGGAGGGAGGTGCTTGGGGAGGAAGCCACTGGCTAGAACAGGGGCCTTTCCCCAATACCCAGTGCTGTAGCTTCTCAACTCTTCCCAGGCTTCTCAGGAACCTGGGAGATTATTAAGGGAAATGTTGGGTGGGAGGAGAACACAGTATTAGTAGGATGCACAGGAAACCTAAGGCTGTTTTGCACCACCTGGAACTTCCTAAGGCATCCCCAGGGGATCCAGCCCAAGGCAGTTCATCTCTTTCTCTAAAAGTTATTCTGAGTTATTCTGAACCTTTGATCTTGCAGTCTAAATGAATGACACTACAAGGGCAGGGGTGAGGTGGATACAAAGGGGGAAAGTGAGACACCAGAGGTGTTTGTCCAGGAGCTCAATAGAGATTCAGATACCAGCCCTGGCTTACCATTGTCTGGAGCCGCTGAGGACTGTAGCAATTTTCCGGGAAGACATGGTCCAACTCACATAGACTCAGGGTTTGTGGGGAAAACAGATAGTATTAGGCACGGCATAATACAGAAGGGAGCAGGGAGGGATGTTTGGAGTCCTGAGCTGCTATGGGTGGACAAGAGGGACCCAACAGCCCAGGATTTAGTGTGGATCACCTGGTTGGGATCTGGCCTAGGAAGTCTGGAAAGCCTTGAGACAAATGAGAGGACTCATGGGTTTGGGGGTCGAAGGATAAGCATGATAGCAGGGATAAGGCTGTGTGGGAGAAGCATGGCATTCTTTTATTTCTCATGCCCAGGTGTTCACCACCATCTGCTGCAGTGGTGGCAGATCTGTACCACAGCAAGATCAGCAAGAGATTCCTGGGTAGGGGACAGAATATGTGTCAACCTTCCTGTTTCTGTATACACCCTGTGTTGGTGGGGCTAGTTTAAGGAAACAGAAGTTGCTCTGCTTGCTTTGGCTGTAGACTTAGTAGTTTGAATTAATTGCAAAGTCCTTGAGATGCTGGAATAATAGAGCAAAGAATTCCTGTTTTCCCTTCCTTTAGATTCACTCCTAAGTTTTTTAATTCACTGTCCTGCCAATAAGTATCATCTACTTGAACTGAAACTAGTAAAAATTACCTCCAAAGACCCTGAGTTGATATCAGGTAGCCATCCTCCATCCCTGGGTAACTGCGGTGGCTGGGAGGCTGGGTGTGGCTTCTCTTATCTCTCCCTGGCAACCCAGAAACTGGAAGGAGAAATAGAAAATTTGGGGGGAAAAATAGCTGTTTTGTCGCAACATAATAGGACAAAACCAGAAGCAGGGGTAAGAGTTTAGGCTCAGTTTTAACAAAGACTGGTCACGTAGCTACACACAGGTGACTCATTAAAACCTGACCGCAGACAGGCCAGTGTTAGGCCTGCCTCGCCATTGGCCATGAAGGAATGATCAGTGTGTCGTCTTGAGAGGTGGTACCATTATTTTACTCTGGACTTTGATGAGAAGGAAGTGATAGCCAATGTCAGCTGTGTCCTGGAAGAGAGGAGGTGGCTGTTCCCTTAAGAACATCTTTGGGGCCTGGTGTGGTAGCCTAGCAGCTAAATTCCTCTCCTTGCTTGTGCCCAGATTCCATATGGGCACCGGTTCTAATCCCAGTGGCCCCACATCCCATCCAGCTCCCTGCTTGTAGCCTGGGAAAGCGATAGAGGATGTCCCAAAGCCTTGGAACTCTGTATCTGTGTGGGAGACCCAGAAGAGGCTCCAGGCTCCTGGCTTCAGATTGGCACAGCTCTGGCCATTGCAACTGCTTGGGGGAGGGGTGAATCATCAGATGGAAGATCTTCCTCTCTGTCTCTGCTCCTCTCTGTATATCTGACTTTCCAATAAAAATAAATGAAATATTAAAAAAAAAGACCCGAACATCTTTGTCAGGTAATCAGGCAGGGAACTTTTGGCTTTTCCTTTTTTTTAAAAAAAAAAAATTTATTTTTCATGATACAGTTCCTTAGACTTGGGGATTTTCCCTTCCACTCTCCCCCACTTCCCCCACCCCCCGCCGAACCCCTCAAGCCCCACTGTTACCCCCTACATTATAACAATAGCTTAGTCCCTAACAACATTCTTCCATTTAAGTGTATCCTGATATTGTAGGTTTAGATAATAGTATGAAGTCCAGTATTCTATTGTCAAAACATTTTTAACAGTTTCATTGGGAATTAATTTTTTATTCAGAAGTAGAGATGACTATTGCAATGTATCTCCACTTCATGCTGTTCTTGTCTCCATTTAACTGTCCCTCTAGATAAATACATGTTTACACATGCTTACCTATATGTTTATTGATCTTATATTTTGCATAAAGGTTGCCTTGTATCAGAGAGAACATATATTTGTCATTTTGGGATTAGCTTATTTCACTAAGCATAATGATCTTTAGTTGGGACCATTTTGTTGTAGATGGTTGAATTTCATTCTTTTTAATGGCTGAATAGTATTTCACAGAATAGATTATCCTGGGGTTGCTTTCACAAGCTTTTTGCAGCCAACAGGCTGAATGGGGAACCCAATGGAGCAAGGTTTGGTGGTGGTGGTGGGGGAGGGGCGTTCAGCTTCCACTTTTTGGAAAAGGAAGTGGCTTTCTCCCTAAGATCCAAGGGTAGAAATCTGCGTGGCCTGGTTCTATTCCGAGGCTCTTCTCCAGCTCACAGCGGAGGAAATTCTCACCAGGTTCCATCTAACTGCAGGTGCGAATTCAGAGAGGCAAGCCGGAAATCATCCTGCCTCTGAAAGGTTGTGTAGGAGGTGAAAAGCACTTAGGGTTAGGATTGAGAAGTGCTGCTGGCAGAGCTGCTTCTGGGTCTGCAGGTTGCCACCCAGGACCTTGGCCGGCCCAAGGTGCTCCCTGCAGCGCAGGCTGCTCAAGGCTCAAGGTCCCAACCCCTGCCCCAGCCCCAGGCCCTGCCCCTGCCCCAGCCCCAGCCCCTGCCACAGCCCCAGCCCAGCAGCAGCAGCAGCAGCAGCAGGGAGCGCCTCACCTTCCTGCCGCACCCAGCAGCCACACTTTCCTCAGCGGCTGCTCACATGCTCTTCCCCATGTTTTTGTTTTTTTTTTTTTTTTTTGACACTTGATCTTGGCCAAAAGGCTGAGAAGCGATTTTTAAAATTTTTAGTTCAATTTTATTTGAAAAGGATGGGTGATGGAAGAGAAAGATAATTAAAAGGAGGAGAGAAAGAGAGAGAGAACTAAAGAGAATGCTTCTGGTTCACTCCCCAAATGCCCACAGTGACAGTGCTATCCCAGGCGGAAGCCAGGAGCCTGAACTCACTCTAGGGTGGCAGGTCTCAAATACTCAGGTCTCCACCTGATGCCTCGCAGGAGGCACATTAGTAGGAGGCTGAATTGGGAAGCAGAGGGAAGATTCAAACCCACAGCCCCACCTGCAGAATGTGGGCATCCCTGGTGGCATTGGACTACTATGACAAATGCCTACCCCATCATTTGTTAACATTTCACGTTTGTTGTATTTCTTGTCCTTTCAAAAACATGTAAATGTAAACATACACATTTCTTTTTTTCTCTCTACATACATGCACACAAATGTATATTGACATGTTTTTTTGCACCATTTGAAAAGTTACCCGTTCTTAATGTCGTAGCCTGTATTATCCTGCAAGCCAGGTCTTTGTATTATAGCTGCAACACAATTGTAAAATTTAACATTGGGACCGCCAAACTTGCAGTCGCTGAGAACTGATTCTCCCAATAATGTGCATTTTGGTATCTTTTCCCTGTCCCAGGTTCTAGTCAGACTCATGGATGGCATTTGGTTGGTACTGCTCTTTCTTCTTTTTTAACCTGTGGCCAATCCTCTGCCTTCCTTTATCTCTTGTGAAATGGATGTTTTGGGAGAGTAGGAGGCTCCCTACTTGGGGTTTGTCCGAGGTTCCTTCCTTTCATTCAGCTTATCCTGTGCTTTGTGACCAGGAAGAACACAAAAGTGATACTGTATTTCATCAGAGGCATACGATGATTGAAATATATCTGTACACTTCACTTGCTGAAGAATTTAATACGCATTCTCTTTTATGTACATTTCAATCTTCAGTTTTGTGGAAACTACAAGGCTTCTCATTTCACAGAGGAAAAGCCACATATTGTATGATGGTCCGTGTAACCTGGCCTGCCTGACCACATCCTCTGTGCTTTTTCTCTTGCTCACAGATTGTGCAGTGCCAGCTAGTGGTCTCTGCACACACTCCATGTTGGGCATTCTGTACCTCGGATGCCACTCCTTCACTGTGTAGGCAGATCACCCCTTCACTTTCTTAGGGTTTTGCTCAAATACTTCCTATGATACCTTCTTCACTGAGCGTGACAGCCAACCACCCTGCCACCCCTCAACTCCATCTAATTTTTCACCTGCATATTCTCTTACATACAGTTCACTTTTTTCAAAAAAGATTTATTTATTCTTATTGGAAAGTCAGATATAGGCAGAGGGGGAGAGACAGAGAGGAAGATCTTCTGTCCGTTGATTTACTCCTCAAGCGGCTGAAATGGCTGGAGCTGTACTGAGCTGAAGCCAGGAGATGAGTCTCTTCGTGGGTGCAGAGTCCCAAGGCCTTGGGCTGTCCTCTACTGCTTTCCCAGGCCACAAGCAGGGAGCTGGATGGGAAGTGGTACCAC